TGACTAAGACCAGAGTCGTGTTTAAAAACACTGTTGACTCCAATCTGTTTACTGGTGGTCCCAAAGTGCTTAATGAAGCATTCTGTCCCCAAAAAGTGCACAACTGATTTTTGCTTAATGGATAAATGAGAGATGCCCCCTGCCCAGGATGTGGACTAGAGAAACTGTCCATTTAGGATCGGCGACACTGCCACGGGGCCATCCGCCGGGGCAGCAGCACAGTCGTCACGGGAAGTGGATTGCTACTCCTGTGAGTTGTAGGAACTCACTTTTCTTAAACAGAGTGTGTGTCCTCACATGCAAAACCGGAGATCGGGAGAGGGGACCTTACTGTGAGGATTAACCACAACAACATGCAAAAAGCACTTTTTGGCTCTCTCTCAGATCCACAGAGTGTCAGTAAATAGCTGTTTCTGCTGTTACCAGGGCTAAAATTTTGGATTAGAAGCAACAGCTCCTGAGCAACTTAGAGACGTGGGAAGTACGGTGGGAAAATTTACAAGGCAGATCCTTTCTTGTGTTTGTTGATAATTATCAGAACAAGAAGAAAAGATCTGAAAAAGACAGACACTTACTCACACAGATGTGCAGGGATACACAGTTGGGGAAGTGAGAAAAGTTGCTAGGTTTAGCCTTTGTGCCCCACTGAGCTTCCGAAAGCCCACTGAATGACCAGAGATCTATTAAAATCAGCAAAGATTCTCCAGCTGCTTTAGAGGACAGGACAGGGGTAGTCAATAGAGCAGAACTGCTGAGGAATTTTTGATGATCTGAACCAGATGGAATCAAAGGGAATGAAAAGTCCATTGAAACCCACAATCCACTGCAGGCAAAAGAAGCCTCTCTTTGGAAAACAGGTGAACCAGCCTCTCTGGTAAAACAGCAGGAAACAAGGGTGCAAAGCAGCAAGGGCAGGGTTGAGCCTGAAACAGAACAGTAGGTCCGAACCACACCCAGAGAACCACCAGAGCCAGGCTCCACTCTGAGGCAAGAATCCAAATGAGCTGGTTAAAACCTTAGGAGCATGTGCTAGTCTGCATGACCTTGGGTTCTATCTTGCACCTCACTGACTTTGCATCTCACTCTGCCCATCTGTAAAAGCAGAATGACGGAACATACTCCTTGGAGCAGGTGTGCCGTCATTAACACGTCTCCCTCCCTGCTCTGGGCACGGAGGACATCACGGCGACCAGAGCAGACAAGCTCCCTGCCTTGATGGGCCATGCATTCTGGTAGAAGGGAGAGACAGTTAACAGATAGATATAGAATACATTGGGTGCCTGTCATGGGGACTGCCATCAGAGGGTGAGCAGTGTTCTATGTAGGATTTCAGGAAAGTTTCTCCATCAAGGTGACATCTGCGTAGAGACCTTATGGGGTGAGCGACAAGCCGCAAGCACAACCTAGGGAGAATGGTCCAGGCAGAGTGAACACCTGGTGCAAAGGTCCTTCCAGAACATGCTTGGTATGTTTAAGAAGCAGCAAGGAGGCCAGGGTGGCCAGAGGGGAACTAAGAAGGGAGACAGTGGCAAAAATGATGTCAAAGAGGTAATGAGAGCCTGACCATATACAGCTGAGCTTTCCAGTGTGGTAGCCACTAGTCAAATGTAGCTTTTAAGCCCTGAAACGTGACTCTGAAACGAGATGTGCAGTAGGGGTAAAATATACACTGGATTTTGAAGGCTTTGGAGAACAAAAAACATGTAAAATATTTCATTAATAATTTTTGCATAGATTATATGTTTAAATGATAATCTGTTTGCTATTTGGGTTAAATAAACCATATTATTAAAATTGGTTTCACCTGCTTCTTTTTACTTCTTTAATGGGAACTACTAAAAAATTAATGACATATGTGGCCTGTATGGATATAGGGCATTATAGGCCACAGTATGGAATTTGGCATTTACACTGAGCAATATGGGAAGTAAATGGAAATGCACATGAGGGGCTCAGCATATTTCCCAGAACAGACTGGAAAAAGTTTATAAAACCAGAATTCCATTCCCAAGCAAATTGCTCAAATATAGAGGCCAATAAAGATATTTAGGGGGAAGACATTAGATCAAGAAAGAATAATAATAAAACTAGTAAATGTTTAGATCAAACTGTTTAGGACATAGGGATGAAGTTTAACAAAATTGGCAAGGAATAATTATTGAAATATGAAACATAAAGTAACATAAAAAGAATCTGATAAACAGATAAAACTGGATACATGCCCAAATTCCCAATGGGTCGAGAAAGACAGGCAAAAAAAAAAAAAAAAGAAAAAAAGAAAAAAGAAAAGAAAAGAAACAAGCATTTCATTTTAGCCATCCACCTACATGTAAACTTTATGCTCTTTAACTTGCATTGCCATGATGCCAATGAGGTTAAATATTTTTCATGTGCTTACTCTTGGTGTATCTCGTTCTGTGAAGTGCATGTTGAAGACTTCTGCTTATTTATTTAGTTTTTTGTAGAGTTGTCCTTTTATTTCCTATTGATATGTGGGTGCTCAGACATTCTAGGTAAGAATCCTTTGTTAGATGCATGCACGCCGTCATGTTCCTCCAACCTGTGGTTTGTGTTTGCATTTTTTCTTGGTGCCTTTCAATCACAATCGATATTCTAAATTTTAACATTGATTTATTGATTGATTTTTATTTTTAGAGAAGGAGAGAGAGAACAGGGCAAGGGGCAGAGGCAGAGGAAGAGAGCAAATCTCAAGGCAACTCCGCACTGAGTACGGAGTCCGAAGAGGGCTCCATCTCACGACCCCAAGATCACAGCCAGAGCAGAAATCAAGAGTTAGATGCTCACCCCACCGAGCCACCCAGGTACCCCAACAACCAGCATTCTAAATTTTAAGGTAACCCAAATTTTTAGATCTTTTCCTTTCTGCTTGGTACTTAGTGAGTCTTGTTTTTAAAAAGTCTTCGCCTGTGCTGAGGTTGGGGAGATATACAATCTTTAGGAAGCTTTATATTTATTTACCTTTCCTGTTTAAGTCTATGATCCCTCTGTAATTTTTGTCTACGGTGTAAAGCAGGAGTAATGGATCCTTGTTTTTCATATGGATATCCAACAGACCCGCCACCCTATACTGAAAAGTTTTCCCTCCTCTCCCTTGTAATATCACTTCTGTCATGAATCAAGTGACAATACATATGTAGATCTGTTTGGGCTCTTTATTCTATTCCTTTGCTCTGTTTATCTATCTCTGTGCTAATACCACAGTTTATCAATTACTGTGGCTTTAAGGTGAATCTTGAGAACTGGCATATATATTCTCCACTTTTGTTCTTTTCCTTCAAGGTTATCTTGGCCCTTCCCAGTACATCCACATTTTAGAATAGGGCTTCCAATATCTCTCCCTCTCAGTCTCTCTCTCTGTCCCTTCCTCTCTGCCTGTCTGTCTCTCCCTGCCTCTCTTTCTGTCACACACAAATATACAGCTGCTAAGCAATGTTAGCGGCAAAATAAATAACAATTAAAAACTTAAAATTTTTCATATCTATGCACCCATACCAATACAAGTTAGTGTAAATAAATGAGGGAAGGTGTCCTGCTCTTCCTTACAGAAGAATTTCAAGTAGTAAATACAGAAGGATTAAGGAAAATACCCATTAATGCACCATAGTAATAACTGCTACAGGCAAAATCTATTGATGAATGCTAAAAAGTTCATGGAAAAATAAGATATTTGCTTAGACTTGACATATCTCCCCCAAAACATTTATTCATTACTGCGGTAATTAACAGATGTCCACAAATTGTTTAATACTCCTTCAGGATAGGGAGCTTCTCCCCTCCCTCAGGGTGTGAACTGGACTTAGTGATGGCCTTTTTTTTTTTTTTTTTTTTTTTTTTAGACTTTGTTTGTCAGAGAGAGGGAGACAGATTGAACGGGAGAAGAGGGAGCAGCAGGCAGAAGGAGAAGGAGGCTTGCCACTGAGCAAGGAGCCCGATACAGGACTCGATCCAAGGACCCTGGGATCAGGCCCTGAGCTGAATGAAGGCAGACACTTAACCAACAGAGCCACCCAGGTGCTCCTAGTGACTGGCTTCCACCTAACAGGTATAGAAAGGGAAAAACAGAAATTCTGTACGGAGGAAGTCTGGCCAACACCAGCCTAACCAAGAGACTGCGATTAATGTCACCATTAATAAGACATATTGACATCATGCATCCCCTAAAACAGGCCATGAGGAGGAAGTGTCACCTCTGTATTCTTCTCAAATCCGGGACCTCATCTCTACTCATCAGAAAACCTCAGAGAAAGCCAAATTAAGGGACACTATAAAAAAAATAATAATAACTGGCTGCTTCTCCTCAGAAGTGTCAAGGCCACAAAAGACAAAGAAAGGCAAGGGAATGTCACGGACTGGAGGACACATGACAACTAAGAGTTATGCGACCATCTTGGACTGGATCCTGGAACAAGAGAAGAACATGGGTGGAAAAACTGCTGAAATCTGGCCAGAGTCTGGAGCGTGGTTAGCAGCAATGTGCTAATGGTAACCTCACTTTTGACAAAGACACCAGGGCTATGTGAGAGGCTGACCCTAGGAGACGCTGGGTGAAAGGCAGACAGGAACTTGCTGTGTCTTTACAACTCTTCCGTAAATCTACAGTTATTTCAAAATAAATTGCTATGGCATATTTTCTGGAAGGTTCTTCAACAGTCTCTTTAGCGTAATTATTAGGGAAATTTGTATAAACAGGTTCATATCCTATTTATATCTTCCAGAGTATGGCTTTTTTTCCCCCTCTTTTTGAAAAATAGCATTTATAATGGAACATGGTTCTCCTTGGATTTTTAAAAAGCCACTCTGGGAACAAGATGTGGAGAAAAGACAGCTCAAAAGCTGACCCAAGAAGACAGAACGTCTTTGCTTGGGGACCAAAGCACCGAGAAGTTTCAGCATATTTTGAGTCAGTCAAGGTACTACTTGGACCTCCAGTGTGTTTAAGGCTTAAGGGGACAATAACAACACCGACTATGGTTACTCACCAGGGCGACTTTCCTCTGTGGTTTCAGCAGCTTCGGTTTATGGAATGTGGCAGCTATGGGAGCTGTGGAAGCATGTCAAGGGTTTAGCTTGGATTTCCTCCAGGATTCCCAATGCCCACATAACACGAGCATCACAGACATACTCTGTGGAGATTCATGGTCCCTTTCCTGCCCCCATGGAAGAAGTTTGGTTTCTGATCTAGGTACCACTGGGTGCCCCTCCATGGAGAGCAATCCTACCCGAATCTTTGGACATGTCATCCTCTCCCACCAGCAAGGTAAATGAAACAAGATTGCATAAAACACTGCCAGCTACTAAGAGGTGAGGCGTGCAGGTGAGAACCCGGTATGTTTGGTTAAGCCTGAGGCCAGAAACTTCCCTGGGGCTTCATCCAAACTACACACTTACAATTAAAGCTGTGACCTTGACAACAACCCTCAGAGGTCATCAGGGAGGTGGGTCTTTATTGTCCCCATGTAACAGAGGAGGAAACTAAGGCTCTTCCCCCCAATATCATGTAATGAGTACTTCAATGTTTTGGAATTTGAACTTGACCTTGAAGTTTAGGCAGACCTCATCTCCAAGCCAGACTCTACCACTTAGCTCTCTGAGGCTCACCTTCATCTTTTATAAGGAAGGGTACTAACCACTCTGAATGAATGATACGTTACTGCAGGGTTCTCTGCCCCCTTCCCTCCCCAGATCTACATTTGTCATGCCTCCCAGAATGCCCAGGCCTTCCAGTCCCTCTGTCCACCCAACATGCACTCAGCCTGAGCACCAGTGGCTTTCAGCACAGGACCCCAAGGATCTGTAGGGGACAGACCTAGTACTTCCAACTACATTGGAACCTCACCTATGTTGCTCTACATTACAGTTGGAATCAAAGACCAAACTTGATTTTATCCCCAGAAAAAATCCAAAATAAACTACATACCCGACTTACATCCTTAGAAAAATCAGAGGCTCCATTCCCTTGAATGAACCAAGAAGATGTTGATACCCCTTTGTGCCACCCCACTATGTGTGAGCATGTTAATAGTTGAAGGTGAAATGCATTGTGGAATCAATCTGTGCATGTTGATATCCCCTCTCCCAACTCCCCACTAACACCATGCTGGGCCAGTGCACCAGCCCCAGCCCCACTCCAGTGATGGGCCTCAGTGATTATCAAAATGAAGATGGGGTTCTGCAGGCCTATCATCACCAGATGTCCTCCGTCTGTCTACTCACCCTGTCCCGATCCCACCGCAAACCCCAGACCCACTTCTAGATCAGTCGTGCTGGTTCCCACATGGGTAACCATAGGCTAGCCTCCTACCTTTGGCAGGGACTGCAGGAGGAACGTCAGCCTTCTCCTTCCGCCTCTTGCCCTTCTTGGGTTGCAGGGGGGCCAAGCTGGTCACACTGGTCACGGTCTCCCCAGAGCTATACAAGAAAAGACTACTGGTCAAGGCAAAAGCAGGTTTGTTCCAGGGAAAGGGAAAGGAAGCAATAGTTTCTGTGTGCTTCCTGAGTACCTACGTAAGGTGAAGTTCTCTTACAGCTGGACTGGGACTCTAGGTAGATCCCCAGGGATGTCGGGAGGTCTAGTTCTGACCTGTGGCTAAGATAAGGATGGCGAGATGAGCTAGTTAGTGATTTATGATGTGCTTTTTAATGTTCAAAGATCCCTGGGGAGATCCGGGGCCAGCTTGTCTGCACTTACAGATGGAGAGATGGACGGTTCTTACTAGGTGCATCAGTTACACAATCTGGCTTGGCCACATCACCAGTAGGGTATTAAGATACTGTCAGAAACTTCTACCTGAGCTACCCTAAAACCAGGATTCTTTGCACGTATTTTTGTGGTGCATAATCCACAGAGCCCCTCCTGTGCAAGGGAGAAAGGACCTTGGAACCTGCACCCAGAAATCTCCAAAGTCCCCCAAGATTGGCCACACTTTCTTCTCCCACTGTACCTTTACCTTTAGGAGAGGGCAAGTGGCTTCACCCTGAAGAGGGTTGTGGGTGGTTTCAGTTATCTGACTCTGTGTAATCACTGTGCTATCAGGATCTTTCTATGTGTTACCCAGAATGATGGTACTGATAAGCCTTATACTGGGGGCAAGAAAACAAGGACACACAGGTGCTAAAGTGACAAAAGTTACACAGACCATCTTGATGGCAAACTTTGATGCCACATGTGGGATGGAATCCACGTGCTTCCTTGAATGGCTAACACTCTTATCTCAAATGTGTCAGAGTGACTCCAGCAAAGGCCCCTTCTAGAACCTCTTGTCCTGAGACACACGCTCCAGCCAGGTGGGTGCGGTTACCAAGAGAGGTTCTCTCCCTAATACATAAAGAATTTCTAGAAATCCGTAAGACTATGATCAACTGCTTAATAATCAAAATGAAGGAAAGCAGTAACAGTTATCACACGAGAGGAAAGGCTCTTACCACTGAAAACACACCAGGGCTCCCTTATGAAAGGAAGCCAAATTAAAACATACTGCTCTTCCATTCTCCACATATCAGAATGACAATAGTCACATTGGAAGCAAAGCACTCTTTTGCCAAGGACGTAGAGAACCGGGCGCGCAGAAGTACGGCTGATACGAATGAAAACCCTTCCCGAAGGAGAGAACTTGGCAATCAGAAGAGCTTGGCAATCAGAGCTACAGACGCTTATACTCTGACCCGGCAATTTCACTTCCGGGAATTTACTCTGTGGACATCCCTGCAAGTGTATGAAATGTGCGTGTGAGATTCGTCCTTACGGTGCTATTGTTGATAGCAATGGATCAGAAAGAATCCAACTGTCCATCAGCAGGGGATTGGCTAAGGAAATGATGGTGAGTCCACAAATACACATGTGGGGTTCTCTGTAGCTGCAAAGAGGAGTAAGAAGCTATTTATGTGCTGATGAGGAAAGATACATTGCTAAGGGGAAAAGCTGGGTGTTGGACAATGTACAAAATGTGCCCCTTTTTGTATGAAAATAGGGAAAAATAGAAATACATTATTACTGCTTGCATATATATGCATAGAGAAATTCTGGAAGCAGTCACAAGAAATTTTAAAATAGTGGTTCCCGGGGTGCCTGGGTGGCTCAGTGGGTTAAGCGTCCAAGTGTTGGTTTCAGCTCAGGTCATGATCTCAGGGTTGTGAGATGGAGTCCCACATCCGGCTCTATGCTCAGCACAGTATCTGCTAGGGATTCTCTGCCTCCCCCTCTCCCACTCCCTCCATCCCTCTCCCCATTCACCTGCATACACACTCTCTCTTTCTCAAATAATAAATAAATAAATACAATTTTAAAAACAAAATAAAATAGTGGTTCCTTAGAATGGGGATGCTGAGAAACTAAGCCAATGGGAGACCAGGCAGGAAGAATTATCACCATATATATTTTTAGTCAATTATTTAACTTTTTTTTAAAGATTTTATTTATTTGACAGAGGGAGAGCACAAGCAGGGGGAGTAGGAGAGGGTGAAGCAGGCTTTCTGCTGAACAGAGAGGCCAACGGGGGACTCAATCCCAGGACCCCAGGATTATGACCAGAGCCGAAGGCAGACACTTAATCCACTGGGCCACCCAGGTGCCCCAATTATTTAACTTTTTAATTTTAACTATTAAACCATGTGTTTGTATAATCATTGAAAAACATAACCATTGCAAAACAGTAAATTAAACACAAATAAATATCTGCATACATGTAAGAGAATGTAGGCTATTCTAACAGACTCCTAGGGTTTTTAAAATGAACAAAGAATGACTCACGCATCGTGGGAAAAATTCCAAAGATACAGATCATGCTGAGACTCCCCAAAGACGGCTTAGTTTTACTGGGAACTGAAACTCCAACTGGCCATAGGTTTAGAGTACAGGGTCAATTGTGTAAACTCACAAACAGGCCAAAAGAATGTGCATTTACAAAACGCTGACCACTAAGAAGAAACAAGGGATCCAAAACTCTCAGAATTGCTTCAACACACAACTGCAAGCACGGCTTCATCTCATAGCTTTAAACTCTTCAAGTGTTTATTTTTTTATTTCCATTATAAATTAACGCACGTTCATGTCTTCAAATGGTAATTACAGGCAGGGAGAAAAAGGAAAATAAATAAGTCTATCTTAACCAAAACACAGCCTTTTAAAATATTTCCAGTCTTTTTCTTCTTTCTTGTTTTTTTTTAATGGACTTCATTTTTTTTTTTCAAGAGAAGTTTAGGTTCACAGCAAAATCGAGCAAAAGGTAGAGATTTTTCACATGCCCGTCCACTCTCCCCCCGACGTGTGCAACTTCCTCCATCATCACTGTCCCCCACCATGGTGGGACATTTGTTATAAATGATGCACCTACTTCAAGATGTCATTAGCACCCAAAGTCCATAATTTACATTAGGGCTCCCTTTGGGTGAGTTTCATTGGTTTAGACAAACACATAATGTATCAGACCAAAGAGCTGAACTGCCCCAAAACCCTCTGGGCGCCACCCATTCATCCCTCCCACCCCCCAACCCCTGGCAACCACTGATCTATTTGCTGTCTCCATAGTTCTGCCTTCTCGGGAATCTTACACAGGTGCAATCATGCAATAGGTAGCCTTTTCAGAATGGCTTCTTTCACTTACTAACAGGCATTTAAGTTTCCTCCAAGTCTTTTCATGGCTTAAGAGCTCATTTCTTTTTATCCCTGAATGATATTCCACTGTCTGGATGTACCACAGCTTCATTATGCATTCCCCTACTGTAGAAGATGTCGGTTGCTTCCAAGCTTGGGCCATTATGCGTAACACTGCCATAACTATATCCAAGCTTTTGGACATTAAGTGGACATTAAGTTTCAACTCTTCCTTGATTTTTATACATTGTATTTTTTGTCATAATCTATTTATAATTTCCTGCCCTTCTTTTTACTTAATCTCTATTTTCCATATTGTTACGTCCTCATACTGTTCTGATGAGAAGCTATGCCATGGCTTCCTCAGCCATTCCCCGACATCTAAGTAATATTTGATGCATGAGTGATATTGCCATACATGTATTTGTGCATCATGGTTTTTCACTCTTAGACTTTTGTTTTGGGTTAAAGTCTTAGAGCTGGGATTACAAATTCATGGAGGAGGACCATTCGAAAGGGTATCTAACTCCCTGCTGTCAAAAGGATCTCCAATAAGTTAGTCCTACTTTGCAGTCACTCAGTCAATGGATGAGGGTATTTCTGTTTTCAGCCTCTTTAACACCAGGTCTATCAGCTTTAAAAAACCACTCACTTAATGAATAAAACTGTGATCTCCCTTTTCCTTGCATTTCTCTGACTGCCAGTGAGAAGGAGCATTTCCAGCATGTATCTAATCGTGTTTCTGCTTTTACAAATACCGAATGGACATCTGCTGTCATTTGTAAGGGTTCTGAGTTTTTCTTACAGGTTTGCATGCACCTTTCACATCGGTCTGACGTATTTATTGCAACCATTTCCCCCAATTCCCTTTGAATTGTGGCTTCTTGTTAAATGCACGGTGACTTATTTCTTTTGCTAAAATCATGAAGTGTTTTCCTTTTGTTTGTTGTCACTGAGCTTGGATCATCCTCCCCAGCTGCATCTCACACGCTGCAGAATCAAGGATTTCTCCTTCCTCTCCCCTTTTCATGGACTTCGTTCTTTAGCTCTTCAACACAAAATGAAAGTTTTGGGACAATCATTTGTATAGATGCGTGGTCTCAGGTCCAGGGCATTCAGCAAGCTGAAAAAGATCTGCTTTGTCATCACTGTTTTCCTTCAAAACAGCAAAACTGCACTAAACTAAATTTAGCTCTAATTCATACTTCAACAATGAGAATTCATATACAATGAGTCACCCCCATGACATGACAGATTATTTTGCTCACAGAATATTATGTTTCCCATTGAGCCAGCAAGACTGGCAGACATTTTTGACAAAGAAACTCCACATTATGATTCACTGACCAGAAAGTTACTCTATATCTTAGATTGGGACAAGACTGTGTTTTGTCTCTGACACAAGGGGAGTGATCATTGCTGGAGCCAGTCAAACCCAAAAAGATAGAGAAGAGGCCGGAAACTCCGTCTAAATGAGAGAGCTGTGTGATTGGAAAGCAGGGCTATTTGTGGAAAACAGGGCTGCCTTTCTGGCTCCACCCAGGGCCTCGTGGCTGGCACGCGTGTGACAGGTATAAGGTTCCAGCCTGGCCACCGTTCGTGGGCGTCTCCCTCCCACATGCGTGGGGCATGTCTGCTCTGTGACACACGGTGGTTGGGTCTAGGTCTAGTGAATGGGCAGTGGACAAGGGGGTTGGGTCGGCACCAAAGCAGGTTCTACTCTGATTAGAGGGGTGACCTTGGACGAGTCGCTCGCTTCCTGGACCTCATCCACCCATCTGTAAAATGGGGACACCTACACTTGCCATCTATCACACAG